CGTGCGCAAGATTCGCCGTGCGCAAGTTTCTCGTGCGCATCTTTCCGTGCGTAAGTTTCGTGGTGCGCAAGTTTCCGTGCGCATCTTTCCGTGCGCAACTTTCGTCGTGCGCATCTTTCGGGTTCCCTTAATAGCTATATAAACTATTTTGTGTAAAAGACATGGTTGAATACACTCTTTGGAATATTTTTTATTATTATTATGAATTTATAATTTCAGTTTCGTTCTGAATCATATTTCTAAAACCATGTCTTTTACAAAAAATAGTTTATATAGCTATTAAACGGAATGTTTCGAGTATTTATTCTAATAAACTCTACAAAATGGAAATAAAATTGATATTTATATAAACTATTAGAACTCGTTTCTTTAGGATAAGGTTATTCATCAATAGATTCCATTCATCTCTGGAATGTTTACGAGAATCCTGTTCTATGGTCTACATTTGTACGTTTTCCGGTCAGTTTTTCGGGTAATGTGTTTTACAACTCTAGCCTTATGATGAACCAATGAAATACTTTGGGTTTGAGAAGTTGTTATAGAAGAACAATAAATGAACGTGATGTTCATGTACGTGATGTGTTCAGCTGTACATCTGAACACATTTAATGAATAAAAAAATTGTTAACGCCTTCGCATGTCTTAAAAGTTAATGCATTGTGGTGGGTTCATTTTTTTAATTTTTCTAACGCACTTTTACACTTCAACATCTTGAAACGCCTTATTAACTATCCCATTTAGACTTTTCAAATGGTTTCACCCGTTCAAATCTATAAACGCGCTTTCAAGAGTCACGTGTATTCGCATTAATTTGATGCGTGCACACGCCTTACGAGACGTGTGAGAACCTGAAGAACTTCATCTTTTTACCACAAACAATCCTCGTTTCTTCCAAGACAATTCCGTGCTTTTAAGTTTCTACACAAGAACTTCATCTCTTTTTATTCAAGGACTCGATGTTTAGAAATATTGACTTTTAGTTTCACGAAATTTTTTCTTTTACGATTTAAACGTAAAACTGCAGGAGAACATTCATCGTTTTACCAACGTAGGTGAAGTTAGCACCGTATTCGAGTAAAACTTTCCCATATTCGTTTAGGAACATGTCGAAACTGTTCCAGCCCGGTTTCAAGTAGAACTCGGCGGGCTCTATCGATGGGTATCCTTGGACTTGCTACAGTCCAAACCATATGGAAGATAAACCCGTTTACCGTTTACTAAAATCATTAGTATGGGTAAAAGCGTCTAAGATTCGTCTAGAAACTTGTTCCAGAAGTTTGTATCGGTAGGATCATTGGTCCCGAAAGGAATATGATTTTCCTCTAACTGATAATAGCGGGGTGGATTTGGAGTACAATGAGATATTACAGTTTTTTATTATTTTCCAAAAGTGATATTATATGTTAAGATACATTTAATTATATCATTACACTGAACAAGTTTTCATATCTATGATATACAAAAAAAGGACAATTAATTATTGTTTTAATACTTATATTGCTGTTTCGACACGAAAGGGTGAATGATTAACTTCTGTAACACCTTTAAGATCATTAAAATGGAATAGACGATTGAATGAATCGATAATAGTTGTAGTAAAGTGGTCGTTTTCGTGGTTAACTGTTGCTCGCAAGTCATATCTATAGGAACAGAAGTTATGCATAATTTTTCGGGCTCATGTTAGTAAAATAAAAATGCTTAGTGACAACGCAGTATGTAAACATTGCTCTAAATATGCTAAACTCAAGATGGTAATTGTGATTAGTCCTCTGACTGAACCAATTGTGATCCTGCGTTGCACATCGTGGAAGTTCATACTGACCAAAACCGGTATCTTAGTCTTCAGACTATTGATAATGGGATGGGTAATGAAAAAAGAAGTGGTGGATACCCATGGATAAAATTTGAAGGCTTAGCAATCACTTGAGCATTACAGCGCCAACAGTCCCTAGAAAATACAATTGTAAGATTGTTGTAAGAAAGTATTGTTAAACCTACTCTTCCATTTTTTTGGTATCAACATTCATAATTTTTGTTGAATCTTTTTTATAGACAAGTCGGGCTGCTTCTTTGTATGGTACTTCATTTAATAATTTGATGAGATTACCACAAGACGACGATGTTTCATGTGCAAAATTTGAAATAAAAGTTTTCCAACATCTAAATGCTAGCAAAATATTTTATTATTTTATATAACGACTTAATAACTTACCCAAGGGTTAGTTCAGTACTGCCAGCAGTACGTTCACGTTTTGGACAGTCTTGTCGAGTACATGTACTTCTGGTTTGATAAAGTTGAAGGGGATATGTGATAAAACGCGATAAATTTCCATCAACAGACCCATATATATTATGTTCATTTGACTGTTGATGGTTAAGAACGTTATGAGTCGTTAGCCAGTACAATCTGACCTCGTCCCATCCGTCCGATTCGACTAAAGAGAACGTCTTACGGAGCGAATAGAACGGTTCGTTCTCCGAATCTAATATGATATTATTTATCGTTGTTTCTGTGCAAAAAATTACATAAATAGCAAAGGGGAGCATCAATATTACAAGTATTTGTTACGGAATATGTTCAACCTGAAAAGGATTTTTTGTATTTTAGGAAAAAAAATGAAAGAATGAAATCAAACCTTCAAAGTTTTTCGTTTCAATCCCAAATGCTGGCCACAAAAGAGGACACTCTTCAATCATGACGGTTTGACAAAAGCGACCAGCTGATGTTTCAAAAGTTTCATTGGGTGACGAATCAGGTGTTTTAAGAGTCTTCGGTAAAGATTTTTCCTGAACGCGATGACTTCTTGGCTCTACTAAAAAGAAAGTATGTGTATGAGGGAAATGAGGAACCTTTTAGTGAAATACCACTTTTCTTTTGGTTTTCTTGTTTTTCATGATTTTTTTCACAATTTTCTTTTTGTTTAATTTTATCTTCGACTGAGTTTTTTTTTGTTTTCGATGTTGACAACCCATCGGACGAACTGTCAAGTTTTATGCTAGAGAAAATATTAACTGGAGACATTGGTTCATCTGATATTGATGAAAAATCAGACAAAGCATGTGATATTGTAATATTTGACATATCTTTGAAGACAGGACTGTTCTTGTTCTCTAAATTACTAGAAACAATAAATGGTTTATCAAGTTTCTCTTTTGACTTAGGACTAATCGGTTTTGACATAAGTCATTTTTGATTATATTTATCGATTTTAGGAAAATATTTACTTCGTTGTTTCTTTTGAGCTCTTTTCTTTCCCCAAGTCTCCTCTACATTCATATCTTTTGGTTTTCCTTTTCGATTTGTTACATTTTGACTAACTCCAAGTTTATCTGCTTTTAACTGAGCCTGAATGCTACGGTATAGTGATAGAATCCCTCTGCTGGTCGCAGATTTGTTTTTCTTTCAAAAGTAGAATCTTTTAGGACACCAAAATAGGATTCTACTTGAGCATTTGTTAGACGACCCTGTTCGTATTTACGAAGGTCAACTGGTACTCGATCATTTGAATACCGATCTTCGAATTCGGTAAGCAAAGACGTCTATAACGGTAAATAAGGGAACCATTTGTAGAAAACCAAAATGATCCGACGACAAAAAAGAGGATTGGTCACATTTTCATATTTTTTCCTAGAATCTAATAACTCAAATAGTTTCGGAAACCGACGAATAGCTTCGATGTCGAAGGGTGACTCATGAACTATTGCTTTACTACTGTGCACATTCTCATCTACTTCATCTAAAGGATCAATAGAGTCGTCTTCTACTACAAAATCACAAAGACCAATGTTTTCGGAAGTACTGTCATCGTCATATGGTGCTTCTAGAAACACCTGAAGAATATCCTCCGCATCAGTTGCCTGTGGATTACCAAACATGTGTAAAACACGTTTCAGAAATTTGTATGATATTTCAAGTTCACCACAATGACCCTTTTTCTTATTTCTTTGGATACATTTGCAGCTGATAGACTTCTGGCAAAGGCATTCATCATATGAGAACAACAAAAGCGCAAAAATGACCGAGAACAAAGTTCTTTTGCATTATATTTTCGTAAGGTAACATTCCAACAACGTTTTAAATGACTAGAGCTTGATACGATGAGTGTGGAGGAGAAGGAGGATGATGAAGATGAAGAATTCATTCCTGATACACAAGACTATTGGTAAATTGAATAGAAAGACTGGTACTTGTTGTGAACACTGTCTTTAGGATGAGTCAAGAAGTGAAAAAGGGAAAATACACAGAATACATAGTCGTAGTGGTGGTAGACAGCAGGCGTTTCTGGACTTATAACGATGAGAAGAAAGACTCTTAACTACTCATACGTATCTCTTGGAAGACTAGCTTCTCACCCAAACATGTTTTTAACACTTTGTGACCATTGAAAAGTGAAAAATGCGTGTTCAGGAGAAAACTGATGAACGTTGTGTGATGGTGCGCTGTAACACCTAGAACATGAACGATTTTCTGAGAAGAGGAAAGATTATTTTGAAAGAAACTCGATGTAACTTTGTAGCCCGTGAAATGACGGTTTTAATGGTGTATAATAGTTAGCATTTACTTTCGAAACCAGAGAGGAGATACACTTGGCAGATTGAAAGGTCATTTTTGCCTTTGACGTTCACCCACGCGACAGAGTCAAGCTGAATTTTTTTCAAAAGCACTCGATAATACTCAACTTTTAGTGCTGAATCCAAATAAAATAAAAACAAAATAATTCGAGACAAGTAAAAGGGTGAAATTCTTCGGTTACTCGAAAACGGTCGCTTTTTTCGATTTTTTCGTTTTTCAAACTTTTCAGCCGTACATTTCACTTTTAAATTTTTCAAAGGTCATATAATAATATAATAATAATAATAATTATAAGTTCAAAGGTGTTTTGTAAGTACGAATGAACTGAAAGATGATTAGTTTACAGCTTGAGTTGTAAAATTACAACAAATAGTCCTATTTCTGAATAAAAATACTATTTAGTATGCAATCATCTTCAGTGTTTGGTTTGCCAAAAGTTTGTGATTGACGTTTTGCAAATGAGTCTGTAACAATTTTACACGATAATTCTCCTAATGATACACAATTACATTAGAAAATTTGATGCTCGCTCCGTGCTCAACCAAATGCGATCGAAATGGAGTACTAGGTACAACATTTCTCGGTGAATCCGACAACAGATTCCTTTTAATTTCATTGTAACTTTGTCTTTGGCGGCGTCGTCATAATCTACGTGGTTTTTGCCTAAATTTTATTTTTCTCACGGATTCACCGAGAAATTTAATTAGCAAATTTAAACTTTTCCCTTGTCATTGTCAAATTTGGATTTTTTAAATTTCAGATTTGACTTCAGTCGAGCTAGAGCACCGAAAATTGTGGCATGTATCAACGAAAGTGTGTCTGATGCTCTTTCGTATTATGAACCGTGTACTGATGTAAGTACGTCCTTTTTCCAGTTTTTACGTGATACTTTTGTCTCTTCCTCTCTAGAACTTTACATTAGCAATAACAGCAGATCGAAGGTGTTACGATAGTAGTAACGGACAAACACCGATAATAACTTTTATGAATTTTGCTTTTATACAAGATTAAGAGTCGGTAACGAATGGTAAAATATTGACCGTGTTGGTATTTTCTATAAATATTAAATTTGGTCTAGATTCTGGTACTAGATAAAATTCAATATTCGTTTTATACCGACGTAATTTGTAGCGGTAACTTACGCACAGCTTTAGAAATTCTTTGAATTTACGTTTCTTCATAACTCACCTAACCCTTCAATAGGGAATAACTGCGATCAAATCTACCTGATTGGTTCGGGTCAGACTCCATTCTGTTCTGAATGAAGTTCAATTATTTCCATCACATACCGATCATCGGATCCGGTGCTGGCTCGACTACCGAGTGACATAGCATCCGATCATCGGAATACGGTCGGATGTGTCTGGAATCTATGTTGCGATTTTGTTTAAGATTTTTCATAGAGAATATAGAAGTTTTTTTGATAAATTCTTCAATTTTTATATACCGGTATGTATTATCCGATATATTATTATGGTGACCGTGAAAATCGTTTCAAAACAGATGCTTAGAATTATTATATATGCAAAATTCCAGAGGATGATTAACAGTAAGGATACTTTTCGTTCAATTTTTGATATCAGATTCGGAATCTGCGTGGGGTTTGGACAAAATGACTGTTTCAGTTCACAGCCAAATACTCGATCGCTCTTGAAGATCCGGTTCTCGTGAAAACCAGTTTTTCGGAAACTTCAGTATTCGTTTTATATCGAAGACGCAAATTGAAGTGGTAAGTTGTTACGCAGTATTTTATACGTAACCTGTATCCTTCTTTGTGTCAGTGCCAGCAATGAATTATGTTTTCATGTTTTATTACGAAAAGTATATTCTCTTTTCTGATTGATCTGATTACTTCTTCAAAGATAATTAACCGTTATGTTTCAAAACAGTATTCTTTTATCAACCTATGAAAAACACATAGAGTTATGTGGGATAAAAAGAGTCAGTGCACGAAATTTTCTTCATAATTCCACTATTTCTGATCCACTTTAACTGAACAAATTCGATATTAACCGTGTTAGTAGAGACGATAATCAGTGCAAAAACCTTCCTGAAAATTCATGCTGGTTTTCCAGATATGTTCAAACGGGAGTCGAGTGATTTTGATTGACTCTTTTACCCCATCGACATAAGTGAGCTGACTCATTTTACCGCATGTGGAGTAAAAAGAGCCAGTCAAAACTACTCGACTCCCAGTTGAATATATCTGAAAAATCAACATGAATTTTCAGGAACTTTTGCACTAGTGTGTGCATAATTATCGTCTCTGATAATTAATATCGAATTTGTTCAGTTAAAAATAGATGAGAAATAGTGAAATTATGAAGAAAATTTCGTGCACTGACTCTTTTTACCCCACTTAACTCTATGTGTTTTTCATAGGGTGATAAAAGAATAATGTTTTGAAACATAACGGTTAATTATCTTTGAAGAAGTAATCAGATCAATTAAAAAAAAACAAAGTTCCTGTATACACCTATGTAAAAATTATTATAAAATAAAATGTTGGAAATTGTTAGAAAAATCAATTAACGTATCGACGAATTGGGACTGAATCAAACGTTGTATAACAGTAGAATACAACAATAGTCGAGGAATAGAGGACAGCGGAACACAGGAATAGAGACAGGATAGCGGACGGAATAGAGAAATACAGGATATCGGAAAGGAGGAATACAGGATCTAAGAATCAGAGAAGCTGCTCGAGATTTAAATGAGTTATTCAACATACAAAGGATTGTAAACTAATTATTTTGTATTTAAATCCACTGTACTATATGTAATAAATTGATTATTCTATATTGGTATCATACAAAAAGGCGTCAAGAAGGAAATTGCCAAATAATCACGAAGCAAGGACTTTCTTTTTTTTGCTCGTCAGTTAACGAGGTCTTACAACTAATTTTAATTCTAATTTCATTCTATCAATAAATTCAAAAGAATCTTTCAAATATGAACCAGCCTCTGACATTGCTGGTAATAACAAGTTAACCAAATATTTAGCCGTGTTGTGATTACAGTCAGGTACACCAGACGCTTCCTAGCTGAGATGCACAAATGTAATCTTTCTATTCGCCCCGCTATTTCTAGTTATGGTGCTTATAATCACAACACGGTTAAATAT